TGTGTGTGTGTGTGTGTGTGTGTGTTATATGTGTGCGTTTGTTTTGTGATGTGTATTGCGTGTTGTGTTTTGTGTGATGCGTGCTCTGTGCGACCCACATCCTGTCCAGCCTTTGCCGTCCCCTCAACCACCTGCCTCTACTCCCACGTGCGATGGTAGTCAAACTGACCCATAGATTTATACTATAACTACACTATCCTAGACCGTCCACTCTGTATCTGTCCCCGTGGTTTTAAGCACCCTGCATAATTTAGCAAAATTTGATCATTTTTGCATAATTTCTTATTATTTTCTTTTATCATTCTTTGTTAAAATTAACAGAATCGCATAGTTCCACATTTTTGGGCTCAGTTTGCATAATTTCGGAAGGTTTTTTTTAGCATAAAAACCCCGGGGACAGCTGTATGTGTGTTTGTATTTACATTCAGTCCAGTCTTTGCTGTCTCCCCAACCACCTGCCCCTACCCCCACGTATTCACGTATGTCTGCGGTCAGACTGACCCATAGATTTGTACTACACTAGCCTAGACCGTCCACTCAGCAACCACCAAACCAGCAAAATCTGTGTCACGGCGCGGTGGAATCAGGCACTAGTCAATTTTAGGGTATATGGAGTTATTGATATCATCTTAAAGGGGGGGGGGGGGTACACCCCCAAAATCAAAATTCGGCTCAAAGTTATATACTAAAAATTTGTCAGTTGAATTTTTGATATATAGAATAGATTTTTGGTGGTGGTCTCTGGAGTGGATTTTCATGGATTTTTTGCAAACTTGAATGCTACCTCAAATTTTCTAATTCGTATAGGAAAAAAACAACAGACAAATATTTAGATCTAATGTTTGTTAACACGCATGCGAAAAAAAACAATCAATTTCCATGAGCGATAAGTCTGGTATTCATTACGTAAGACAAGTCAACAAAATCCAATATGGCCGCCGTATCCATGGAAACGAAACTGTTTTCTCAAATTTGATTGCAGATTTTACTATGCTTGTTATATGTGTGAAAGTTGGTAAAATTCGGTCCAGTAATAAGCGAGATAGCCTTCAGATGTAGCCCCCCCCCCTTAAAGCATGTCCAATTGCCTTGCTGGCAACGAAAAAAAAATACCCATTAATCTTGAATAGAAGTCGAGATCAAAGGATGTGTGGTAGCCTGATTTCAGTGTTAAAATTTATGGGAAAATGGCCGTCAAAATGTGGTAACTTAAAATGCTTCAGAGTCATTGAAAACTGAAAATTACATTTATTTTTTTTTCCCTTTAAACAACGTTTTTCATTAAAACTCATCTGGGAATGAGTTGTTATATGACCTTTCACGGTGTTCAGCCAAAAAAACAAAATTTCGATAAAAATTACCAAACAGGTGGAAAAATGCCTTTTTCTTCTATTTCATTTTTATATTCTATTAAATAGTCCTATTTCTTTTACATAACTTAAAATTGTTCTAAGGTCTATAATGCCTAAAAGAGTTTCGACATCTTTACGCTTAAAATATCTATTACGTACATCATTAAATTCGACACATTCCGTTACGATGTGCCTAACTGTGAAATTTGTGTTGCACGCCACGCAAAAAGGAGCCTCTTCTCCTTCTAGTAAATGTTTGTGCGTGACGTGCGTGTGTCCTATCTTTAATCTGGTATAAACCACGTTCTCTCTTCGTAGGAGAAACAGTGGTTTCCTGGGCGCAAGTTTCGGTTGAATGTAAAGGAGTTTGTTGTGTATTTGTTGATTCCAAATTTGGGACCAGGAGGATGTGATGTGTTCTTTTACTTTCGGTTTCATGTCAGAGAAAGAGAAGAGGAGAGAATGGGTCGATATAACAGAGGGGAGGGGAGAGATTGGGTCGTTTATAACAGTTCACAACTCCCGAGTTCTCATTGACACGGTAGGCGCGAATACAAAGTGTTGCTTTTAACTGTCCCCGTCGTTTTATGCAAGAAAAATTATGAGCCCAATAATGTGAAATTGTGCGATTCTGTTAATTTTAACAAAGAATGATAAAAGAAAATAATCAGAAAGTATGCAAAAAAATGATCAAATTTTACAAAACTATGCGCGGTGCATAAAACCACGGGAACAGTTTTAAGGACCAAGT